CATTTTCAGGAGCTCTTACACCTCACTGGTCACAAATGCAGTGTGTATATGTATGGCTGTACATATACATTCGCTGTAAGAAGATGGGGAGAATTTACAGTTTCAAACGCATCATAAAATCCACTTAATTTATTACCTGCTTATGAGCTCTTATAGGATTAGTCCAGCAGGTGAGCTGGAGCTTTGGAGGTTCAAATTTGGAGCGTGGTGAATGGAACCTGGTCTGTGGGAAGGTGTTGCTGTACGTTTTCCAAAGTCACAACATTCCGCTGTTGCTCGAAACGCAAAATTCCCATTTGTTACATACAGGGGTACGTGTGCCTTGGTTAGAGGGACTCCCCAGCTCCATAGGTGCTACTCTTACCAGGAAAGGATTACATTAAAACAAAGAGAGCTGGAATTTCTTAATTGATCTCTTGAACTTTTATCTTTTATACGGTAAATGTTTATTGAATTATATGTTGGGGTTTTGAGTATCTTTGTGTCTGTTCAGATTGCCAATTATGAAACCACAGATTTGTACTAATTCGTAATTTTAATTGTTTATGCAATAAAACAAGGAAAACTTTGATATAAATGACAACATGGGCTTTTTAGCTTTATTTTCGTTACCCTTGTCTTTGAAATAGAATAAATATTTGTTCTCCTAGCCAAGGCATCTTAGAGTTCTCTTCCCAGCTTTCTCCAGACAGTTCTCTCCCCATACCCCTTCACTGAAAGTAGAGCACAGCTGGGGCAGACACTAGTGTGTGGGTTTCAAATTCCTGGTTTGTGCAGACCTTTTGCTTGGCATACAAATGGGACCAGAAGTTCAGATTTCTTTGTAGGAATTACATTTATTGTGGAGACCATTTCTTTTAAACTGGGTATGTCCCTCCAACTCTCTCCTGTATATCTGTTTTTATTGGAAGCTTGTCCTTTATTGCAAACATAGCATGTGGAGGCAATTGCATGTTTTCTAGGTGGAAGGTTCTCCTGCAGGAGTCCGTGACCAATGTTTAGGTAAATTCTCTTTTCCTGCAAACAAGGGGGGAAAGGTGGCAAAAGAAGGGCGGTTGTTTCAGATCCTGGGTGTGACCATAAAACTGGGACCAACCTTCGGACTCTACAATGGTACCACGTGTAGATGTGGCTTCACAGGTACCTACAGTTGCACTGGGGCACGTGCCAAGTGCTATAGACCTGCTTTAACATTTAATGTGATCTGTACCTGTAAGAAAGAGATCTTTGAATTTAAGGTCTCTTAAGTAGGTTTTTAGGCTCTTAGATAATTTTCAAGATTCTTTCTCTCTCAACTATCGCTCATCTTTTTTAAAGGAAAGATTTGCAGGGGGAAAATCTGTTAGTTGTGATATTTTGAAATAAGGAAGATAGGGTGTTTTCCAGGATTTCACTTGTGGTGCGCCAGCTTGGTAATGACTTCACTCTGGAAATAATCCTTTGGTCTGTGCATGCAATGGGTTCAGCAGGGCATTGGGCAGAAGAGGGGCTCTGAGTGGGCTCCCATCATCTTCTAGTCAGCCTCTGCAGGGTGTTAGCCTAAAAACAATCTCGTCTGTTTGAAGTAGTAGTAATAACCATGATATAATAATAAAGTTGTTTTCCGTGAAATACAAGAGACACTCCATTTGATAAGGAGCCATTGGTGACATTTGACCCTCACATAGCTTTTGTCCATCCCATAATGCTCTGTATTACTGGGATACTGTTGTAGTTGTCTGTCTTTGAATTATTTTAAGCATCCAGGTGTAAAGCTTATAGAACCTATGCTTACATTTTATTTTGGCCAACCTGTGCATTCAAATCTGGCTTTCTGCATAGGGATTGAATTTAGATTGAAGAAATAACTGGGAAGTGATGCCAAAGCTTATTATCATTCTGCTTGTTACCTCAGTGGAAACCAAATGGAGCCTGCTTCTACATAACCAATATTACTGAGTAGCTGTGGCAGATAAGGCCAGCATCCTCACCCAAGTCTGTAGCTGTGCTCATGCAAACTACAGTGCTTTTGCAATGCTTTATTGATTGTTTTTTATTTTTTATTTCAGTTACATGCATGTTGGCCTTTTTATGAAACTGGGTTTGTTTGCTTAAGGATATGTGTTCCTAACTACATAGTGAAACTAAGAGGTATTAGTATTCTTAAAGATCTTTGAGTATGAATATTACACCGAGCTGATGCATTTTTGGATGTTGCCTTAAGTGCATTTGTATGTGATGTGGAAGCAGAAGTTTGCTGTGTGCAGAATGCAGCCGTGTCTGAGGGTCTGGGCTGCAGCACTGAATCCCCACGTCGTCACATGGAAGCCCTGACTCCTGCTTGCAGCACTTACGAACACCAATTTGAGGTGTTTGTGTGACTTACTTGTAGAAAACAAATTTCTACTTCATGCAGAACACCGAAACATGGAAACATTCCTCTGAAAGAATAACCCCTTTTCATGTATCTGGAGGATGCTGCCTGCGGGGAAGGAAGACCTCAGAGCACCAGGGTTTGATGTCAGAGGGAGTCATTCACGTGTTTTGATCTTTGCATCAATATTTCTACCTAATTAGGAGTTTTCTACATTGAACAGCTGTTGAAATGGCTTCTCCCTTTACCATCCTTCCCCTGGAGAATAAGGAATTGCTGTACATCCTACCTGCTTGCCTGAAGTCCCTCTGTGCTGCTCTGGTGAAGAAGACTTGGATTATGAGAATGAAAATTACAGTCCTCACCTGTAATGTCATCTGCCAAGACACACTATCAAACTGAGCAGTTATCAAACATTTAACTAAACAAATGTTAGCCAAAAAGCTAACCCAAGCTGCTCTGTGACATTTTTATAGTCTTTTCTAGAAAAGGCAAATTTGGGAAGTTACAGGACAAGGGGGAATGGCCTTACGCTGAAGGAGGGTAGTTTCAGATGGGATATTAGGAGTAAATTCTTCTCCATGAGGGTAGTGAGGGCCTGGCACAGGTTACCCAGAGAAGCTGTGGCTGCCCCATCCCTGGAAGTGTCCAAGGCCAGGTTGGACAGGGCTTGGAGCAACCTGGGATAGTGGAAGATGCCCCTGTCCATGGCAGGGGGGTGGAGCTGGATGATCTTTAAGGTCCGTTCCAACCCAAACCATTCTGGGATTCTGTGAACATGTCTCTCATTTCCATCAGTCACTCTGGCTTCAGGCAGTGGGGTTCTTTCTTTTGGATGCAGTATTTGAAATCAGTTTACCAGCCAGCTTACCAATCTGACTGAAACAGGCAAGCAGTGGAGTTTAGAGCAAGTTACATCCCATTTGCTCCTCCTGTATCTGAGCTTTTGGACTGTCTGGAAACAATTCAAGTTACAGATTCTGGAATTCATTGCTACTTCATGTTAAATTCCAAGAACTTAAAGAAGCTCCTCTCCCCTGCAAGCTCGTTTGTTTGGAAGCTGATGTTTCAGCATTCCTGGCGTGTAAAAGCAAACTTTGAATAAACTCCTGTTTCTGGATAGGTAAAACAAATGCCAGGCAGTGTTGCTTTCCAGGGGTGATGTTAAAAGCAGTGGGAATGGAGAAAATACTCAGGCAGAAGCAAAAATCTGCTCCAGAATTAGTGCTGGACTAGTGTATGAATGGTTAACTCTGCAGCCTGGATGATCTGAATCTCTTCCAGGTGACCGAGTGCAGCACTGTTTAGCTTCCTGCGTTTGTCCATGTGGAATTACAGGCTGGGGCTGCCTCGCCCTGGGTGTGCTTCCCGAGCCTGAGCAGCTGGGAATCGAAAGCCCTCAACTCCTTCTGCAGCACCCGTGCCCCGTGACTGTGTCAGGAAATCCTGTATATCCGTGGGGACTGATTTTTTTTTTTAAAGCCTTTTGCGATGATTTCTAAGTAGTCTGGGAAATGATGGGTTGGCAGTTTAGGGTTGGCTCTTGATTTCCCTGTTTGCCTTTGGGCAGGTGGTTTAGCACTTGTGACTTGACAAATCCTGCTGGGGAGGCTTGGGAGCATGGCTGGGTGTTTGAGCTGGAGACACTGAAATGTTGGTACCTGTTTAGTTGCCTCACCTGAGGAAACTCATCTGTTTATCACAGAGAAGATCAGAAAAAATAATATGTGAGGTTAGGAGGAATTCTGTGTGTGTAGTGTAATTGGAGTGTCTGTCACCTCTGTTTGGTCCCAAAAAGTTGATTTGAGTCATCATTTTCCCTGTGAACCCCCAAGGGGAGTCTGCATGCTGAAAAGAGGAGGCTCAAATTCACTGTGATGGTGCCTTATGTGTCAGAAATCTCTAAAGGGTCCACAAATGAAATAATAATAATAATATTTTTTAAAAAGACTATTAATAATCTGAAGCAAAGCAGTACCTGTTGCTCCTGCCTGTAACAGGTTTAGCTGTGGTTTGTGTCCATCCAGTTTATACTCGGTGCTGCAAAATTGATTTTCTTGAGATTATTCTATTCATATATTAGAAGAGCTAGGAATGAACTCTCTTGCATGCTCCCTCTCTGTATAGCAAGAGGTTTTCCTCTTCTATTGCACAAATTTTGGAGATTCCCTGATTTCTGAATGTATTTTTAACATACTTTGTCGTCTGAAGTGGTGAGTTGTGGAATGATTTGTCCTAGCTTTTCCCTGGGTTGAAAAGTAACTCTTGTATTGAGGAGGAAAAATGAAAGCTGTGTTCTGGTCCCTGCAGTATAACCCTATGTTGTGAACCGTGTTGCTGCTCAACAGCACTTTTTCCTTGACCCCAAGCAATTTATCCTTCCCTTAACTGCAGTTGTAGCAGTGTCCGTCCTTACTGCGCTGCCACGTAACCCGTGGGATTCAGGGAACACTTCCTTTGCTTTGAGATATACACTGAAGTCTTTGGATCTATATGCCTTTTTGCTCTTTTTCTTTTGCCTTTTTTAAAATAACATGAGCTTGCAATTCTGGTTTGCTGTAACAGTGAGTAATCGCCTTAGTTGCGCTATCTTTGAAATAATTTTCTCTCTTTTTCCACTCCATTTTCTTGTTCTCTTCCCACCCAGGCCTCCCCGTGGACCATCCCGAGCTCTCCTCCCTTGTGCTGAAGAGTCCCCTGGGCTTGACCCCGGCCTTTCAGGTGAACTTGAACGCAGCTGCCCAGGGGTCATCCCCTCTGCTGAGTCCTGTCCTCAGCGACGCTGGCGGGGCCAGGATAGAAGAGGATGATGAAATGAAACGAAAGGTAAGATCATGATGTAGCTGGGCACTGATGGTGTCAGGTGAGGAGCTGTGCTGGGCACTGATGGTGTCAGGTGAGGAGCTGTGCTTGCTGGGCACTGAATGCTGATGGTGTTTTATTTTGTGGTGGAACAGGTGGGTTTGGTGACTGTGTTAAAAACTCCACTGCTGAAGGTTTGGTTGGATGTCTCTCACAGTTGTGGCAGGAGTCCCCACTGCCCTCCTGGCATCTTCTTGTGTCTTCTTGGCATCGCCACTGGGACCCTCTCCCTCTCTTTTAGCAGGGAACTGTGCTCAAAATCCACCTTTTGTACCCCAGAATGGAAATGAGTTCAGGTTGGACGTTAGGGAAAGGTTCTTCACCCAGAGGGTGGTTGGTCCCTGGAGCAGGTTGCCCAGGGAGGTAGCCACGGCACCAAGCCTGCCTGAAATCAAGGAGCATCTGGACGATGCTCTTAGTCATACAGTTTATTTTCAGGTGGATCCTCAAGGAGCAGGGAGTTGGACACAATGTTCCTTAGGGAGCCTTATTTGTTAATGTGTAAGGTGTGTCCTTCCTAGGTTCCTTCCTTCCCATGCGGTCTTGTCATGGTCTCCTTGGTCCATCTCACCATATGCTGGTCCTCCAGGCTGTGCTTCCTGATCATAACAGGACCTTTAGAGGCATCCTGAGATGTGCCTCTTGAGCTGGGAAGAACCTGAGCTCAGCCTCAGCTGTCACAACAAGCAGGGGTCACAGTGAATTCTCTGACACCCAGTCTGCCATGGCTTGGTCAGCAGGGCTGGCTGTGTTGTTGAAGCTCTCCTCTCCATGGCTGACCCTTTTGTCCGGAAAGAGGTGGACAGTGCTCTGGCTTTGTGGAAGTTTGAGGCTTACTTTCTGGAAAGAAGGAGGCAAAAGTGCTCCTGACTTTTGCAGGTTCGGTGAGTCTCAAAGCAGGAACAACTTTGAGTCTTCAGGACATGCTTATGTCTGGGTACTGCTCTGTGCATGGGCTGCTTTCCTTTCTACCCACCTGTAAGCACTGGTTGCTTTAACTGAGGACTCCCCCACATGATGTGGGGTTTTCCTCACCCCCATGTAGAGCTCAGGATTTGTTGTGTTTCCTCCAGTAGGACAGAGAAGTCTGCCTAACAGTAAAGCTCCATGACCATTTTGCTGGAAGCCTCTTTGCTCCCCTTGCCTTGCTGGCTAGCAGGGAGGTTTGTTGACTCTTTTGTATTTGAGAAGGATCCAGGACCTTCCATTACAGTGCAAGGAAGGCTCCACTGTCCAGACTCAGTTCTGTGTGGAGTCGGTGGCCACACTGGGATCTACAGTTTTCTGTGCAGCCTCAAAGAAGAAACCACCTTGTGTGGTCTTTGCTCCTGCTCTTCTCTTCTGCTTGTCCCATCCAGCGTCCTGGTTGTCCTACCTCTGTCAGGAGCAGGATCCTCAGGGAAGAAGGTCACGGGTCCCTACTCTATGGTGTCTTCACCATATCCTTGGGCACTTCCAGGCACTCCTTTCCTGGAGACCCCAGATAACTGACTCAGACTGTGTGATGCTGTTGAGAAACACCTGTGGTGTGGATGTGGTGTGAATAAGTGCCAGAGAGAGGAAGGTTTAACCCGTAACTGGGAGCTGAACTGGAGAAAACTCACCCAGCTGGCAGCTTCCCTGTCTCATTCAGACTTTTTGAGGTGGAGTTTACAGCTTTGGCAGATTGCTCTACCTTTACTTTCCGTAGTTATTTCAAGTATACTTCCTCTCATTTATCCTTGTAGCCTGGAAATAATGAGCAGTGAACACGTTAGCTGCCTTAAGGGCTGAACCCAACCCTTTCTGCTTCTTTTTGCAAAGTCTGGTGTTTTGGCAGCTGGTGTTCTCATTCAGGCTGAAACTAATTTATAAAAGTGAGACTCCTAGAAGGGAACTTTTTTTATTCTATTGATCTTAAGCTTGATCAACTCCTGAGCCTTCCAAGGCTTCGTTGTCCATTCAGAGACATTATTTGAAGTGAAACAGACCCAGGTGGAAACAAATTGTTTAAATTGAACTAAGCTAAATTCCACAGGAGTTTTAGAGCTTTATTGTACAAGAAAAATGTAATCTTAAAATATCTCTCTGAATAGAGCTCTGATTTGAAGGTGATGCTGCTGTAATTCCACCTGGTTAATCAGGGTGTGTTCTGCAGACTCTCCAGCTCTTGCAGTGTGTGCTCTCTGCTCTGTGCTGCCATGATGCTGCTGTACTGAAACATTGAGAAAGATGAAGGTTTTTTTCTTACATTTTAAATCACTGTGGTTTTCTTTCATCTTACTGGTAGATTTCTTTGCATTCCTTTTCTAATAGAGGTTGATTGTAACAACCCACTTGAAAAGGACATGGAAACTGAGCTTTTTTGGGGAGTTCCCCCCACCTGGAGTTATTTTTAACACTGCTGAAGCCTGGTCTTTGAAGTGAAAAGTTAAACATTTTTGTGTGCATGGAATTATTATTTATTATTTATTTATTTGTTTATTTCCAGACTTGTTAGTTTTGTGACATTGTCATCTGGATACAAGGCAGGCAGGAAAGGCTTTCTTAGTCTCGTAATCCTTTTATTTTGGCCTTTATAAGTTCACAGTAGAGCTCTTCACTCCCCACAAGCTTTTAACTCCCCACTCCTTGCTGCATGTGGTGAGTCTTTGAAGGTTTTCAGGTTGGACTGTGTGTACATGGCATGGTGAAACACCAGTTTTTTCAAGTGGGGGTATTTGCCTTGATGCCTGCTATGGTTGTAGAAACATTTTCTTTGGACTCTGGAAGGAGACTGCCTTCTCAGAGTGTTTTTGTGTTCTTTTTTTTGAGGCTTGAGCTGATTTTCTTTCCTCTTGCAGTGCCTGACCAGTACTGAAGGTGTTTGGCAGGGCCCCTGTGCACTGTGACAGCCGCTCCACTTCTCGGTGCTTCTGGTGCAGGTTCTGCCCAGCAGCTGCTGCCAGCACTCAGCACAGGGGAGGCACTTAGGACTGGTGCAAGACAGAAAAAAAGCAAATTAAGGGCACTAAATTTCAGCAGGGAGCAATTTGGAAAGAGCAGGAGCTTCTGAGAGTAAATGATGATGCATTGGCAGGAGGGAGAAAGGAAGAGAAGAAGCCTGGGAAAAGAAAAGCATCTTCTGTGCCCCAAGTTTGCACAAAGTTATCTGGAGCGAAAACCTGTAGAAATGCTCAAAGGTGATGAAAAAGGTGATCCATGCAGGCTATGAGAAGTGCCAGGTTATGGCCATGGTGTGTTTTTAGTTTTTAAAAAAGTTCCCCCTTGTTTCCTGTCGCTACCTGCCCATGTAAAAAGTCACGCTCCCACATTTTATATGCCTTTGTGCTCTGTAAGTGTGTAAGCACTTCCTCTGTAAGGAAGTGCTGTAGGATCCTGTACAGAGTCCAGGAGGAGGTGTACACAGAGCTGTGTTACACAGAAACATACCTGCTACTCTCCTGTCATGTAAGAAACTGCTGAAGCTGGTAAGTGAAATGAAAAAGCCGTATCATCTTGAGCTCCAGGGAGGCCGTAAAAACGATGCTTTTTCTTTTGAGAAGAGGCTGTTTGAGAAGGATGCCCACTGAGCTTCAACAGCATATGACACCACAGTCAGGTAAATAGGCCAAGAACAAAAAAGCAATACCTGAAGCCAAGATTAGGTAGGACTTTGCCTGACACTGTGTGCCTGAGACAGGTAGGTTAAAGTTGAGAGAATGGCTGTGGAACGAGTAGAAGTACGTTGAAGTATGTCCTCTGGTTCCTCCAGGGTGGAGGCTGATGTGTGGGACTACAGTAACTAGCATAAAATAACCTGAAAAGAGGCTAGACATTGTCTCAAAATGAATTATTTGGGGACACATACATCCAGGAATTCTATTGACCCAATCGAGAGGTTACCAGGAGAACATCTCCTCCATGAGCAACATTGAGCTGGAGGATTAGGAAGCTCAGTAGCTGTGCTGACAGCACTGGAGGCATCTGAAAGCAACTCTAAAAAGAGAATTTTTAATTAACTCGGCACATACAAGGAAACAGAAGAAATAATTTTCAAAGCTGTGTTGCTCTCAGTAGGGGCAGACATGGGGGAGACCAAATTTTGACATAACTCAGTGGGTTTGCTGCGACTGATTTTGACCAGGCATAGGTTTGGCACAAAACTGTGCCACAGCATGGTGAGCTAAGGAGCCAAAACAGCATCTTAGCTTGAAATGGGATTAGACCCTTAATATTATGTGATTTTTAGTAATATATATTTTCAGGTTAACTCTGATTTTGGGTTGTTGCAGCTGCAGAACTGCAGTATTACCATTTCATTCCTTTATGCTTCCATGTCCATTCTGTCTTCTCTGTAAATAGCAACCCTGGAGCAACCATACAGTCAACAACTGCTGCCCTTTGATTTTGCTGTTTTCTTAGCTAATTAATATGATCTTCAAAGGACTTGAGTAAAAGCTGCAAGTGGAAATAGAATAGTTTTGGAAAAGGACTGTGTTGCAAATCTGCTGTGCGGTGTTTGGTTAGAGAAGTGTTTAAAACCTAGGAACCTTGGAATAACTGTTTCCATATTTTTGTAAGGTGCTCCCTTGATTTGAAATGGAAGTTCATATAATGGAAATGTTCAAAGCTGGGTTGGATGGGGCTTGGAGCAACTGGTCTAGTGGAAGGTGTCCCTGCCCATGGCAGGGGGTGGAATGAAATGGGTTTTAAGGTCCCTTCCAACCCGAACCATCTTGTGATTCTCTGGCAATTGACATATAACCTTGATTTTTAATAATCTTGAAATATAAAAAATACTGTAAAGTCATTGTTTGGGAATGTGATACTGAATACAGAGATGCCCTGTTAGCAATGGGCTGCTCCACTTGCACACAGCAAGGGGGATGTAAGGTTTGAGCTCAAGCTCAGTAATAACTAGAGCATGTGTATCTTACTGTCTGTTGATGGCTGTGTGTCCTTCCAGCGCTACCCCTCCGACAAGGCCTACTTCATAGCAAAGGAGATTCTTGCCACAGAACGGACCTATTTAAAGGACCTGGAAGTTATCACAGTGGTAAGGGGGTTTGACTTTCTTTAATTTATTTTTTTTTTGCTTTTCTTAGCACATTCGTGCCCAGTTGTTAGTTTGGAAAAACTCGGAGTTTCTTCCTAGTATGTAGCATAGTTCATTAGCCAAGTAGCTGTCCCCTTTCTTGTTCCATAGCTCCTCCTGTGGGAGAGTAGATACCTTCTCTGGACTTTTGTCTTTAGCTCCAGCAGCTCCATCCTGTGCCACCCTGATGACTTAGACAAACTTTTGCTCTGAAAGCTGTGAACAGAGACAGCCTAAAAGTGTTTTGCATTCAGTTTTGGTGATGATAGCTGCCAGCTCTGCTTGTAACCTGACCGTCAGTTCAGTGGTTTTCCTTGGGAAGTTTTTGTCCTTGTGCCTTTGGATCTGAGAGCAGATGGCAGTTGCAAAGGGCATCAAGGACCTATATGGGGGTTTGAGGAGTTTTGTCTTGTTTTCTTGTTTCTTTTTCTTCCACTTCCTTTTACCCAGACTTAGACAAGTGAGTCCTGGCTTGGAGGACAGTGTGAGTTTCCAGCTTTGTTCCTGAAAGAGCTTTTTGTTTGTGAACTCCATGTTTGAGCACTGTGACTGTCGCATTTCTATAAGCTGTTGTTTTAATTTCATCAAAGAAAAACTCGAGTCCCTTAATGCCATGCATCTTCAGTTGAGGTGTTCTCTGCATCTCCAGCGAGCACCATCTCACTCCAATTCCTCCTACAGGCTTCCCAGCACTTCTAAAAGATGGGGGAACACCTGGCACCTCAGAGGATTTTTGTAATATCCCCATCCCTGCCAGAAAGCGGGGAACCGAAAGCGATAAAGTGCAGAGTGTGACCTGCAACGAGATGTCTCCAACTGCTGAGTAACTTGCACAGGGCTCCAAGGTGTATGGGAGCAGTTGTGTCTGCATGGAAGTGACAGCAGTGGTGTGACAGCAGCTGGGGCAGCCACTGGGTAACTGACCGTCACTCAGCTGTCACCAACCATCCCATCATCGCATTCAGAAACACGCTCATGCCCAGAGCCAGCCATAAATGTCTCATCTTCCTAATGTTTGGCAAGGAAAAAAAAATCCCATCTTTTCATTTTTCACAAATTACGTCTTCCCTAAATATTTCTCCTTCCTTCCTGCTGTTTCCCTGTGCATACTTTCTCCTCCCCCATCGCTGCAGGAGCAGGAATTTCTGTTCTAACGACCAACTCCTGAAATAGAGAAATTGATGGGAATTTCTGGTTTTCTGGCAGTGGTTCCGCAGCGCGGTCATCAAGGAGAATGCCATGCCAGAGGGCCTGATGACACTGCTCTTCTCCAACATAGACCCCATCTATGAGTTCCATCGAGGCTTTCTGAAAGAGATTGAACAAAGGCTCTCACTCTGGTAAGTGGAGGAACATCCTCATGTGAAAACCGGACTTAAATGCTCTTTGACCCGGTATTTCTGCATCAATACAATCAAGGAGAAGTATTTACTAAACTATAGTTATAAAAAAAGTACTAAATGCATTGTGCAAAGCCCATTTTTCAAGCTCTGCCTTGTGTATAATATCCTGTAGTCGTGTGAATTGTGCATCAGACCAAGGGTTTTGTAAAAGAAAAGACCCTTAAAGATTGTCAAGTCCAAGCGTTAATATAACCTGGTAGTGCCTCTCAAGCCTTAGAAAAGAGAAGGAACACAGGGTCAAAAAGAAGGGTTTTTTTCCACACCTTCCAGTTAATGAAACTCCAGCTGAAAATCTAGGAAACATTTTTTGTAATTAAGATGAGAGTTCAGTTCTTGCAGCACCGTTTATTTCACAGAGCGTGTTTTTAGTCTCTCAACCTTTGCATTACTTTCTCCTGACTTAACATATTATATATTATCATATAATTACCATTCAAAAGGAGTATGAACAAAAATAAATTCAGGTGTGATCATGTTATGACATCTGTTCAGAGGTCTGAGAGGTTAAACTCCCGAACAGACTTTCACACCAACTCATTTCTAGTCCTTTCTCAGTTTTCCAAGCACAGCTTTGTGTTTGTTATTTCATACAGCTTCCACATTTAACGTACCAATCTGAACAGTGAAATGGGAATCTCAAGTGGCTAAAGATTATGTCTTGAATTACAGAGGTAGATGGAGGGAAGAAATATAAATTTCTTGATCCCCCGTTTATGTTACCTTCTTGTTTCCTCCTTGTGTGTGTCCCAGGGAAGGCAGAACCAATGCTCACGTGAAAGGAGATTTCCAGCGCATCGGAGATGTCATGCTCAGGAATATGCGCATCCTAAAGGTAAATACAGGATTCAAGAAAGGAAATTTCGGGATTATTGAGTCTTTGTTTTGTCAAGGATCACAGAATCACGGGATGGTTTAGTTTGGAATGGACCTTAAAGCTCATCCAGTCCCACCCCCTGCCATGGGCAGGGACATCTTCCACTAGCCCAGGTTGCTCCAAGCTCTGTCCAACCCTGACCTTGGACACTTCCAGGGATGGGGCAGCCACAGCTTCTCTGGGCAACCTGTACCAGGGCCTCCCCACCCTCACAGGAAGAAATTCTTCCCTAAATCCAATCTAACCCTCCTCTGTTTCAGTCAGCATTGAAGTAACTTACAAACAATTATTGTTGATAGCAATTTAAAAAGAAAACAAAATAATTGCATGAAGGCTTTGTATCACTGTTTTTTATTTGGCCACTTACATTTATCTTGAGAAAAGGTGTTTCTCTGTTGCTTATTCAGCAGAAAAGGAAGAAAAATTGTTTCTTTAGCTCCCCTGTTGAGACCCCGGTTCATAAGGTTATTTAATTCGAAAGTATATGTATTTTTTAAAGACAGAGCTTCTGAAATGAAGTCACCTTTATTCGGTGCAGAGTGCCTCTGTGGAACAGTTACACTTGTGCTGTAGTAGTGGAGTAATTATTCCATTAAAACCAGTGACTTGAATGGGAGTGCAGGAGTGTGGGACTGCTATTTCGACTACCAGCATTTGGTGTTCCCAGCAGGCACAGGCACAGTGCCATACAGACCTATTTTGATCCTGACTGGGAGCTGTCTGCCACTTTCTTGAATAATGGAAGACTGTTTTCCTTTGATCTGAGTAATTCTTTGTCCGATTCCACAGGAGTTCACCAGTTACCTGCAGAAGCACGACGAGGTCCTGACAGAACTGGAGAAAGCAACCAAGCGCCTCAAGAAGCTGGAGATGGTTTATAAGGAGTTTGAGCTGCAGAAGGTTTGCTACCTGCCCCTCAACACCTTTCTGCTCAAACCCATCCAGAGACTGATGCACTACAAGCTGATTCTGGGTAGGCTGTGCAAGCACTACACGGCGGAGCACCGGGACTTTGCCGACTGCCGGAGTGAGTGAACCCCCAGCTGTGTGCCTGCTGGCAGACACCCCTGCCACGGACATCCAAAGTTTTGCCTGTGCCCTGGGGAGACAAGAATTGTAGAACCATAGAATCGTGGAATGGTTTGGGTTGGAAGGGACATTAGAGCTCATCTCATTGCACTCTGCTACCACGGGCGGGGGCACCTTCCACTGGACAGGGGTGCTCAGAGCGCCCTGTGCGACCTGGCCTTGAACACTTATGTTCAATTATGTCCACAAATTCAGTGTAAACGCTTTTTGTCTGGCATTCCAGGAAGTGGTTTTCTCGTGGTAATCTTAACGGACCCCAAGGTCTCAACCAAAGCTGAAAATTAGTCCTTTTCTTGTCTCCCTTTTTAGCAGGGGAAAAAAGCAACTTTTTAGGAACTTTGTCATTTAGAAGTAAAAATGTGACAAAAAAATGCTTGTTTTGTGGTATCAAAAACGTACATATTAAATTCCATTCGTGACAAAGTAATCTTTGGCAGAAATAGTTGGCTTTAATTTTTTACTTTACTTTTGGCTACATGGTAAAATACTTTTTTTATATGAGCAATATCTGAGATACACAATGAACTCCAGAAGCATAGGAAGTGCTATGAAGTTGCTTGTTAGTCTCTACTTACCCACTGGGTAGCTCTAAAATACCCTTTAAGAAGTTGGCAGTTGGACTGGGTGATCATTGTAGGTCCCTTCCAACTAAACTATTCTGTTCCAAAGCTGGCTGTGGATTTCAGATATGAATTTCAGATTCAGTTTTCCAGGGGTGGGTGAAATGGGTGGCCTGGGTCTCTCTGCTCTGCTCCCATCCCCTCGGTGCTGTTTTCCGTACAGACGCGCTGAAGGAGGTCACGGAGATGACGTCGCAGCTGCAGAACAGCCTTATCCGCCTGGAAAACTTCCAGAAGCTGACAGAGCTGCAGCATGACCTGATTGGGATAGACAATCTCACAGCACCTGGCAGGGTAGGTGCCTCTGCTTCATTTTTAGAGCCTTTATTGGTTTTATTGCCAAGGAAGTGCCTTTGAACCGTGGATTTGCCATTGCTGCCCCTCTGGTTTATGGGATGAGTGTAAGGTCTTTGTGTAACTGTCTCATAGTGAATCCCATGGATGATGGGACCATCACCTTGGTGGTGTCCTGAGGAATAGATCAAAAATGCTTCTGCTGAGACTCTGGCTGCAGTTCTGTGTTTCCAGTACAGACACTGGTTACACTGGGTATGGTGCTCTCTGTTTCAGCGGGAACTGGTGTGTCACGCTGGATAGGAAATCCACTCCCAGCTCTGCTGGTGCAGCCTGTGGGAACGTAGGGATGGTTGAGCCATGGCACTGGGCTGAACTGGTGCCTCTGTTTTACAGGAATTCTTGTAGCTCCTGCCTGGTTTTTTGTTTCTTTGTTTTTGATAGATGTATTGGGCATAAGTACAGGAGCATCGCATGTGTTTGGGGATGCTATGGCAGTCACTGCGATGGGATGTAAGTGTGATAGGTGAACTGCTGGTGGCCAACAGGAATTCTGCTTCTTTCCTTTCTCTTCCTTCACTGATTTAAATGCTGGTTGCAGCAAGGAGCTGATTCATGCCACAAAAAAAGGAGGAAAAGTGTCACCTGGCCTTTAACAAATCTGTTAGGGATCATTGCTGGGCACCAATCAACATCTGTGTACTCTGGGATGAAAATAAAATTCTCTTTAGTTGGGAAAGATCAAGTTTTGTCTAACTTTCTCTTTTCTGCTGCAGGAGTTTATTCGGGAAGGTTGCTTGTACAAGCTCACTAAGAAGGGCTTACAGCAGCGGATGTTCTTCCTGGTGGGTGTTGCTTCTGGCTTTCATAAACCCAAAGTCTTCAACATAAAGTTGTTGGGAAAGTGTGTTTTCATTTGCTTGTGTCAAAAATCAGCACTTGAGACTGAAAGCTCACTGTGAAAGATGTTTAGAGAGCGTGACTGTGGCACTACTGTCTGGTCAACTTGGTTCCTTAATGGCACAGGGTTTTAACAGAATTTTAAAATTTAATCGCCTCTCTTGTAAATAAACAAGAGTGGTTTTAAGGAAAGTCAGCCAAACTGACCAAGAAATGGCATTTTTCATGCATCTGCAGTGGACTTTAAACAACAGATTTTTAAGGAGATATCAAAAAATCCTTGTCCCTGCCTGCTGCTTTCAGAACACTGATTGTCCTCTTCTTACCTTTCCAGTTCTCAGATATGTTACTGTACACAAGCAAAGGGGTCACAGGGACAAATCAGTTCAAAATCCACGGACACCTCTCTCTGCATGGCATGTTGGTAAGTGGTTCCAGGTTGCATCACAGGGTTAAGGAAATGGCTTTGCCTAGGGTAGGCTGAGGAATTTCTTCAGGGCTCAAGGACCAAAGCCACAAACTGCTCCCAGGTAGGTCTCAAGAGCAGTTGGACCTTCAGATGTGTCAAACAGAGCCTTGTCTGCAGGTGATGAGCCTGTTCCTTCCACATTAGCAAAACAGCTGGAGCACGCCCTCTTGTCAGTTCATTTTCACACTGCTCTGAGAGGCTGATCTGCAAACAGGGATTTATTTATCCTGGTGTTTTGCCCCCCTGCACACACCTAGGCATATAACCAGCCCTTCTGCCTCCCCATCCCCTGTTCTCATGGGATTGTTCTTTCTGTCTTTGGTTTGCAGCTGATAGTGCTCGACCCTCCGGTAAGTAATGAGTCAGATCTACTCTGACCACTTTCCCTGCCCTATTGGATGTGGTGTTGTGCTCCTGCAGTAGAACCACACAATAGATTTTAATGTAGAGGCAAAGTAAACTTGGGAGTAGGTGGTTTTCCTCAAAAAGTAGCTGTTCCACACTTCCTGCAACCGGGTTTGACTCCACTCCCAGCCAGCAAAGGAGGACAGCTTTAGTGTTTATTGGTTACTGAGCAGTGAGGAGAAAAATCTTTTCTTTTTCTGCAGGTGGAGGAGAGTGAGAATGAATGGGCCGTCCCACACTGCTTCACCATCTATTCTGCACAGAAAACCATAGTGGTGGCAGCCAGGTAACCCTGGTTCTCCTCAATTGCCTGTGGCTTTGAGGGATTCCTTCTCCAGAAAGTTACTGCTTGACTGATGCACTGCTAGGGGGGTGTTTCCTGCACCCTCTGGACTTCAAAATAAGCCCAGGACTCTCCACAACTCCTTTTTTCAGTGTTGAGTTTTGGGAAGGAGTAGTTTATCCTGGGCTGATCCCCACAGCCTGGGTAACAGGTGAGGAGGGGATTCTGCCCCTCTGCCCCCGCTCAGGTGAGACCCCCTCTGCAGTTCCAGCTCTGGGTCCCCAGCACAGGAAGGACATGGAGCTGCTGGAGCGAGTCCAGAGGAGGCACCAAGATGATCAGAGGGCTGGAGCAGCTCTGCCATGAGGAAAGGCTGAGAGAATTGGGATTGTTCAGCCTGGAGAAGGCTTTGGGGTGACCTAATTGCAGCCTTTGAGTACATGAAGGGGGCCTACAAGGAAGATGGAGAGAGACTCTTTACAAGAGCCTGGAGTGACAGGACAAGGGGGAATGGCTTCCCACTGACAGAGGACAGGGTTAGATTGGACATAGGGGTGGGGAGGCCCTGGCACAGGTTGCCCAGAGGAGCTGTGGCTGCCCCATCCCTGGAAGTATTCAAGGCCAGGTTGGATGGGGCTTGGAGCAGCCTGGGATAGTGGAAGGTGTCCCTGCTCGTGGCAGGGGGTGGAATGAGATGAGCTTTAAGGTCCCTTCCAACCCAAACCATTCTGTGATTCCATCTCACCCAAAATACAAACAGCAGCAATAACATTGCCATTGTGTTGGTTTACTTGTGAGTTGCCAGTGTCATCCTTCAAACCACTGCAGGAGACAAAATGAAATCCAACCATACACATATTTTAGAGACCCAAAAGAATTAAACTCCAGAACAAGCAAATTCCTGTAAGGAGGGGAGAGTTCTTGCACGATCTGATGGAGGAAACTGGAAAGAGAGAGGAAAAATTAAAGGCTGACTTGGAGATTAAAACAATCCCTTTTCAGTCTAACTTATGCTTGGGCAGTGAGTTTGGTGCCTTTTTGTTGCTTTCTATCTGAATTGTACTTAGGCTGTCTCCTATACCTGGTGTCTCAGGATCAGCTTTAGGAGGTTTTGTCCTTCTGCAGGTCTGCTGAAAAGGCAGATGGAATTGGGAATGCTAAGGATGCAGGGTGGGAGCACGAAATCTCAACCTTAGATCACAGGGTTTTTTACTGCTTGATGACCTGTTCTTGAAAAATAACCACTACAGAATCTTCACAGATCAGGTGTGTAGTGGCACAGGAACCAATACTTTTGGTATGCAGATGTGTTTTTTTTTAGTTCCAGCCTAACAACTGAAAGTGTCCTTTTTTTTTTAAAGATCAACCATTTCTCAGCAGCTGCAAATCATAAGGTGCTTGAAAGATTCTTAAATTTGGAAAAATAAAGATAATTTTTACATTGCCATAACTTTGAAATAGCTCAAAGTTTACCTGTGAGAAATAAAAATTGCTGCTGGGCTTAGACCATGTGTGAAATTTTCAGTCTAAATAAAAAGCTTTCGGGAAAAAAGAGATGGTTACCAAAAAAAAAAAAGAAATGTGGCTTTGTCTAAAGGCAAACCTTCTGCTGTTGCATATCCATGGATACAGAGATACACTGAGGAGTTGTAATGGAACCTGTGAGGGGTGAAGGAAGCCTCCTCTTCCTGCACCCTGGGTTTTGGTCGCGTGAGATGTCAGATCCCTTTAGAAGATGGGATGTCTTTCAGGTTGCCTTTTATCCTTCAGAAAAAATAATTGCTCATACTCCTCCATCTTCAAAATGTTTGATTCCTCTTCTGAGCCCAGGAGCTCCAGAGGGGATATTCTGTACCCCACTAGCTGTCTGTTCGTTCTCTTTGCTGTAGAGTCCAAGTGTTTAATGGTTATTTTAGTCTTATTTCAAGGCTTGAGTATAGAGGTGAAGGCTGTGTGAGGTCAGTTTCCTCTCTGGAAAGCTCCTGCTTTGGAGGAATTCTAATTTTGTTTTGATTTATCTAATGGAAGGGGACTGCCCCTTGTTTTGGGCGGTGACCTGTGGTGCTGAGTCACAGCTCTGGGCTGCTGGATCCCCACCCCCACTGCTTCTCTTGCAGTACCCGCCTGGAGATGGGGAAGTGGATGGAAGACCTAAACGTGGCAATTGAAATGGCCAAGAAATCTACTGAGAAATCCGAGATGCTTCTGGAAAACTCTGTGTGCAACCGCTCCAACAGTAAGTGATGTTTCCTGCCTCCTTGAAAAGCAGCAGTTGTCCTGTCCTTTTCACCTTTCCTGTTGCAAATTTGATGACATAAATTAAGTATTTTTATAATTCCTACGGTAATGGAGAGTTAATGGGGTTTTGGTTTTAATCAAGAGAAATATGCTTGCCTTCCTAGGCTGGTGTTCAAAGTAGCTTTAAATGCAGCAGAGATCCTCCCATTGCAGAATTGTTTTATAAGGTCCTTATTCATCTCTTGCATAGATTTTTCTCAATTTAACTGTGTAGTGATTTTTTTCTGTCCAAACGGTGGTGTCTTTGGAGGTCAGCTTTTATAGCCCAATATTCCTGTGCCTGTCTGGTGGTGTTATGGCTGTGCTGAAACGTGGAGTATCCCTTCTTGGAGCACTCTGTGCTGTTCCTCCCGACTCAAGAGGAAGTGTGGTCATTTCTGTTTGTTTAACACAGCACTGAGTCAAACCACCCTGTGATTTTATTCTAGTGGAAGGTGTCCCTGCCCATGGCAGGGGGTTGGAAAGAGATGAGATTTAAGGTCCCTTCCAACTCAAACCATCCTGTGATCCTATGAATCAGCTGCCCCAGGCAGAGCTGAGTAGCAAAAGTCAGACCGATCTGCTCAGAGTGTGTGCACAGGAGCTGTGTAACCGGTTCAACTTGACATATTTAAAACTGGACCATGGCAAGAGAAAACAGCCTTTCTCAGGAATCCCAGCTTCTCTTGCTCTTTGTACTGCACAGTTTTCTTAAACCACTGCCCAATTCTCCTCCCCCAGGATCCTCTGATGAGGTCTCTCTAGAACAGGAGTCTGAAGATGACATACACTCCTCTCGTAGCTCCTTGGACAGGCAGAGTCACCACCGTGCCAACACAACCATGCACGTGTGCTGGTACCGCAACACCAGCGTCTCCATGACTGACCACAGTGTGGCCGTCGAGGTACCGCGGGGGCAGCGCTCGCCTCACTCTGTCCCTCCCGCCTCGGCCTCCATCTCCCATTCCTCCTCAGCAGCGTTTCTGTGTCCAGGGAGAGCACGGGCCATCAGATGCCACCGCATGCTTGTCCCCTCTGTGCATGTCCGTGTGTCCGTACTCACGCTCCGCTCTCCGTGCGGCAGGGCTTTGCTTCGGCGATGGCACAAAGCAGGGAAAGTTGAAAGGAAGCCCAGGGTATCCTAGGACTGAGTTGTTCCTTTGGGTTTCATCCTCCTTGCTGGAGGACTGACCATCCCCCCTGCACTGGGCACTGGTGAGGTGCCTCGACTCCTGGGTTCAGTTTTGGGCCCCTCATGACAAGAAAGACATTGACGGGCTGGAGCGTGTCCAGAGAAGGGCAGTGGAGCTGGGGAAGAGTCTGGAGCACAGGTGTGATGAGAAGCAGTTCAGGGAGCTGGGCAGGCTCAGCCTGGAGAAAAGGAGGCCCCGGGGGAACCTTCTCACTCTCTACAATCCCCTGACAGGAGGATGGAGCCAGGGGAAGTCAGGCTCTGCTCCCAGGGAATAAGAGACAGGACAAGAAGAAACAGCCTCAAGTTGTGCCGGGGGAGGTTTAGATTGGATATTAGGGAAAATTTCTTCGCTGAAACAGTGGTTAAGCATGGGAACAGGCTGCCGAAGCAGTGGTGGAGTCACCATCCCTGGAAGTGTTCAAAAAATGTGTGGATGTGGCACTTCACTATATGGTTTAGTGGGATTTGGTCAAAAAGGTTGGACTTGACGATCTTGGAGGTCTTTTCCAACCCTAATGGTTCTGTGATTCTATGAGTTACCTATCCATGATATTTCCCTTTAGAGATTGACTCTACTGTACTGAGCTCTGGTTAGCTGCTGTACTGCACCCAGAATTAAGAAGAGGGAGTTCAGTTCAGTGGGAATACACCTTCTCTGCCCTTCCCTTGCTGGCAGGACTGAACAGCCAAGTGCCTTTTCATGGCAGCATCATGTTATGCTGAGCAGAGTTGTTTATTATGTCCCTGCTGAGGTGTTCAAGAGCAGGCTGGATGGAGCTCTGAGCAACTTGGTTTAGTGGAAGGTGTTCCTGCCCATGGCAGAGGGGTGGAACAAGATGAGTTTTAAGGTCCCTTCCAACCCAAACCATCCTGGGATCCTCTGATTCTGTGACCTGCTGGTACCTCGGATCTTGCCATTTGGTGTGGCACTGGTGGCACGTTTGGGTACTGAATCCTGAGTCCTGCAGATTTCCAGACAGATCAGTTCAGCACTCCTTACACTGCTTGCCACACCTCTATGGTTTCACTTCAGGCAGCAGTTTGGCAGGTAGGACACCTTCCTGGAGGCTGGCATGCTTGGAAGACTTCCAGAAGTGGGAAGGACCCTAAATGTTGTGGAGAGAAAAAGGAGGTCACTAACCAGCCAAAGCAATGGGGCAGCGTGCTGTGGCACTGCTGTCTGTCCCTGCCTGCCTGCCCTGCCCTGCCCCTGAGGAACTGGTTTAATAGAAGGAGTTAAAAGTTTGGCCACTGGAACTCCTGGGTTTTCCTGATACAGAGTGCGTGTGGGTCTGCTGAGTAAGAGAAATGCTATAGGTGTGACCTGGGCTTGGGGTCCAGAAGTTGGGCACTGGAGCTGGTTTCTGTTGTGACTTCTGTTGGAGAGGACAGGCCTGCCTTTCCCTGCTGACACCTTTGGGAAAGGCACCATCTCACAGTTCTGTGCCTGGATAACAAGCCCACCCTGCTAGAGGTTCTGGGATTGACCGTGTGAGTTCTTGCACTCCCTCTTGCTTTGGTCTGTTCCATGTTCTAACACCATCATTTTTTTCACAAGCCTTTTTCCTTTAACAGTCGCCTTTCTTGCATCACTTCTCTCACCCTAATGTTCTGTTTTTCTATTTCTCTCCCCCTTTCTCTGCTCAGTTTTCTGCTCTCTTGCTGTTTCTCCAGAGCTTCCTCCTCGCTATTTGCTGGGCCAGGCCCAACGGCCCAACACAATCACCCATGTTTGTTGGTACCGGAACCAGAGCCTATCCCTGTCTGATTACCTGTGCATGATCCAGGTAAAGATGCCTCTCACATTCTGCACTGGTGGGGAGGAGCCATGGGATGCCCAGAAAAATGTCCTGACTCCTAACTGCTCACTTGCTGGCGTGAGGATGCTCGTCCTCAGCGGCAGAGTTGTACTATCACCGTGTAGAGACAGGATTTCCTTCTGTTTATGCCTCACAAAATGGTCCTCTGTGTGAATCTGCTCTGTGTCCTGTCTGTTTCTCAGATCACAAAATCCCTGCGCTGTCATTCCGTGGCGTAGGTGGCAGTGGTGGTCCCCTCCCTGCAGCCCCCTTCCACGCTGGCTTGGCTTTGCGTAGCTGCCACATGTCACTTGTCCCCAGCTCTACCACTCTCTGTTTCCTCTCCTGCTTTATTTCCCTTCTCACACAGGGTGTTCCACGGGGGTTTTCTGCACGTAAGAAAGGGTGGCTGAAGGGATGGACGCTGGTGGCTGTCACCATACCTGGGAGGCCTTTTACACTGGGGAGCAGGTGCAGGAGCAGTTGATGCAAGGGCTGTTTGCCTGCAGCAGGATGGCAACCTGTGATCTCACAGCAGTTTTCTTTCCCTTCCTTCTACGCTAGAACCAGCTCTCTGGATATTTGCTGAGGAAGTTCAAGAACAGCAATGGCTGGCAGAAACTGTGGGTTGTCTTCACCAACTTCTGTTTGTTTTTCTACAAAACGCACCAGGTGAGCAGGGGTAGGTGAGGGAATGGTGTTCAGGGTGTTGGGGGCACCTGGAGGTCCTCGCCTTTCAGCTCCAGGGGCAGCTCACTGCTCTCTGAAGCAGAGTAACGAGTGGAAGGGGAGGTAGTTCATAATAAAGCCGGCCTCTGAAGGGCTGTGGGCCCTCCTTGTGGAATTTAATCAGGATTTCCAGTTCTGGTTGTACTGACCTGTGGGTCTCCTCATGCGGTGACTAAAGGAGGTGGTGGTCCTGGCAGCCTCTGGGCAGTATTGGCCCACTTCTCTCCCTGCTGGGCTTCAGCTCAGCTCAACAGGCTCCAGGGATTTTCCTGCCCCTGGTGCATTCAGCACCTGCTTGATAACAAACCGTGCTGCAGCTCAACCTTTTCATCTTATTAACCCAATAAACTGTGTTTATTAACCCAACAGCTGGGTTATTCTGGCTTCTCGCCTTCAGGGCACATTTCATTTGGGAGCGTTATTTTACCTTTTGTGTCAGATCTGTGCTTGGAGTTCCACTGAAAGGGTGCAGAGAGGGAAGAGGGAGCCCAAGCAGTAGCGAGGGGCAGGGGAACAGAGGCAAATAACTCTATAAAAACAGTGAAAGGAGCTGGGGGAAGGTTTCATTATAAGCTGTCGGTGGCCTTGCAAGAGAGGCAGGCTGCTCCTCTTCCTCTTATGTCCTAAACTACAGTGCACAGCCCTTACCTGTGCTCACAAGCGTGCCTGCGTGTTGGGCTGAGCGCTGTGGCAGAGGGGCCTTGCACTGAGGGCTGGGCTCTTGGGCTCTTCCAGGATGATTATCCCTTGGCCAGCCTCCCGCTGCTCGGCTACACGGTCAGCTCCCCCGTGGAGGCGGATGGGATTCAGAAGGATTATGTCTTCAAGCTTCAGTTCAAGTCCCACGTGTATTTCTTCCGGGCTGAGAGCAAATACACCTTTGAGAGGTAATTTTCTGTGTGCTCTGTCCTGGTGTATAACCTGCTGTTAACTCGGTGGTTGGTCATCCCGAGACCTCTCTTTCCTCCTAGTCTGAGTGACCTTCCAGCACATTCTCAGGAATAACATTCCCTTTCTCTTCCCACCGGTGATATTTGGAGATCCCTTCTCTGCCAGAACCCTCCTGGGGGTGAACTGAGGGTGCACCCAGACCTGTGAGCTGCACTTTGTGCCAGGAGTCTGAGGCTTCCTTGGAGCCAGGGAGGCACGTGGGAGGAAGGGCTGTGGGGTGCTCAGCCCCACCCTCTCTTTGGGAGTCAGATCTCCAGGTTCTGGAAAGATACTTTTTTTTCTCTTCAATCTCTGGAAATGGGATTTATAACAAGGCTGAGGACAACAAGTCCAGGCCTGCCTTTCACTTGGCTGCTTTCTCTGTAATTACATTTTTTAATTATTATTATTAATCTGTATAATTACAATTAATTGCTCTTAAGAGCTTCCACACAGGGTCCAAATTGTGTGTCAGATGCATCACATACAAAACTTTGCTGTTACATTAACTGTTGAAAACCCTTGCACTGGGTCCTGCCCTGCAGGGTTGTATTGGTTGCTTTGGAATGTGGGTGTCACATATGTCCCCCTTCCTTGGGAGAGTGTCACACACTTGTGAGCGGCTTAGGTATCAGTTACCTGAGCTGTAAGTTGTGCTCTTTAATCCACTGGGTTCATGTAGTAATTTCAAGGGAAAAATGTCTCATTCACAATGGGTTTGTCTGCTTTTTTCACTGTTGCTTTGCTTTCTTCCACATGAGTAAGGCTGTTATGTAATTCCTAATTTATTGTACGAAAAGCAGCAATTATTGTCAGCTTGTTGTCTTTGATAAACACTGAGGGGAGAACATGGTGAGCTCTCAGGGGAGTTCTCTGGAGCTCAGAGCACTGTAGAGCTGTTACTTGGACAGGCAACCATGTTCTGCAGGGTATTTACCACATCTCAAGCTGTTCATTTGAAGAGTTAATTTCCTAAAAGACTTGTAAAAGAAAGAAAATGTCTGGTTTGGGAGGTTTGGGGAAACAGGTACAGCTCATAACCAAAGGACAAGATTATCTGGGAGTGAGTGGCTGAGCATTTCTCATGTCCTTTCTTGGCAGGTGGATGGAGGTGATCAAGAGAGCCACCAGCTCTCCAGCCAGGTCAAGCCTGCTGCTTCCCAAGGAGGAGAAGGACAGTCACACTGACTGACGCAGGGCAGAGCTGGATCTCTGCTGGCAACACCAACAAAAGAGGCAGGTGGGAACAGGAGCCTCTGGAGTTGATAAAGCAAAGACTCAAGGAGGCCTGTTTCCCCCGGTATGGAAAGTGGGAGTGAGGGGGCTGCAGACGGGGATCACATCCCTTCCTGATGGTATGGAAGAAGGTCCAGTCTGTTCCAGTTGAACCTGCTTACAGAGAACCCAACAGCAGCGGTGCTCCGGTGCGCACACCTCGCGGAAGGGTTCTCGTTCCGTTGTACCTGTACAGTAACACCTTTACCTGCCCTGAAGGCCGGTGCCACCTTGTTTTTACATTTTGACTGGATGATCAGCGTATATGGGAGAAACCCAGCAGCTGCCAGTGGTGTTGTGGCTCACAGCAGCGGGTGCCAGGGCTCGCTCACCTCTCCCAGCCATCACCTGCCCTGTGTGCTCGGTGTCCCTGGTGCACAGCCCCTGTCCTGCTGCTGTCAAACGTCACCCTGCTGGCACAGCCGTCTCGGACTAATGGGGACGCACAGATGTGTTAGCTTACACACAGTTCATTCCAAACAGGAACTGCAGCTCTCCTAAAACAGCTCTGCTCCTCAGGAGCTGCCACGGCAGCAGTTTCCCAGGGAAGTGGGAGAACTGGACCTCTGCTGAGCTGTCAAGGTGTCGGTGTATTGTGGGTCGGTGCAGGGGGTGCATGGTTTTTCCTCTGAACTCAATCACTATTCTCATATCACAGCTCCCGTTTCTTTGTCCTGTAGTAGGAATTATGTAAGGCACAGGATGGCATTCACTCTCCACTCTGGTGTGGGTGATGTTTTCAAGGCATTTAAGCACTATAGGAGAACAAGCCTCTCTGAAAGTCACCGTTGCTTATGCTTTTGTCATGCAAAGACTTCTGAAAATCCCTATTCTTGCCTTTCAATTTCGGGTGGGATCCATCTTCTGTTTCTCCTGAAGGTATAAAAGTCACTGGATTCCAGATGGAGCATTACCGTCTGTGAACTCTATTAAATCTCTGTATTAAATCTGAAAAGTTCGCAGCTCGTTCTGTTTTTGTAAATCTGTCACCTGTGGGTGCCTCCACGGAAGGACTGATACACGCTAAGTGCCACAAGATGCCGTTGGACGTGGCTTTGATGGGCTCTGGGGACTCTGCTTTATATTATATTAGATAGAAAAGTGTTTGTGTACTAGCAGAAGGAACAATGCAGTGGTGCAGTGAAAGCAAAAGGAAAGTGTTGCATGTTGTGAGGATGCAGGAATGTGGAGGTCCCTGTGACAACGGGAAGGACAGAGGCCAGCACGTGCATTCTGTTATGGTGTCAAAAATGCGGGATGAGGACTGCAGGGAGGGGGAATCCAGAGGGATTTGTCTCACTTGGCATTTGCATCCTCGAGGAGTGACTGCAGAACCAGCCTTTGCCACCGCTGCCACAAAGACCATTGTCCCATCTAAGTTAAATGTACTTAATTTATTAGCATCTTCATTTATTATTTTTTTAATTACCTGTTGTAGGTGTATTCATGTGGATTGATTAGATGTTATACTGTGGCTGAATATGACTGTTCAAAGTAAATAGCATCTTGGTATAAAACTCTCTCAGCCTCTTATTCCTGAGCCCACCATCCCATATTCAGGTTACTCACTAGTTTTCCAAGACTGGTTCTTGGTTCACCCTGCACCAAGTGCTGCTCCATCCAGAGTCATGTGCTGAGGTGGGACTCCCCGAAACAGGTGCTTCTGGAAGGACAGCAGGCAGCAAAAATTGCTTCTTTGGTTGGGAATACTGAGCTCAAATGTCTCCACGTTTAAAGAGCAGGAGCTCAGGCTAGAAAAGCCAAAAACTCTGCTATTCCTGGCAAAACTGCAGACCCCTCACCTCGGTGAGCTTTCAGTGAGGTAAGGATTTCAGTGGCATGTCAATGCTGTGATAGATTTTACTTTTCCAGAACTCTGCGGGAGTACTTTTTGTCTTTGCTACAAGCATGAGCAGTGTCCTTAACAGGACCATTAGGCAAGAACAGATTACAGCAGGTCCTTACTTCGTGGTTTCTTGCTCACATGGTGTATGTAAAGGGGAGATGCACTTGGGACCGCATGGCTGAGGGTCCACGGTCTCACTATTTCAAAGACCATCCAGTTCCACTCCCCCACACCACCCACGCCCCCTGCCATGAACAGGGACACCTTCCACTAGCCCAGGTGGCCTTGGACACCTCCAGGGATGGGGCAGCCACAGCTTCTCTGGGCAACCTGTGCCAGGGCCTCACCAGCCTCACAGCCAAAAATTTCTTCCTAATATCCAATCTAACGCTGCCCTCTGTCAGGGTGAAGCCATTCCCCCCTTGTCTCACTGGAGCCTTCTCTTCTCCAGGCTGAACAACCCCAGCACTTCCAGTTTTCCCTCCTTGTGCTAGCCCTTCATCTGGGATAACCCAGTCTTGCTTCATTGCTTAAGAAACCAGAACAATTGAGTTCATGCAGTAACTTCTACCACACGTTTAATGCAACAGACTGGAGCTGTTCTGGTGGCTACTCCCTTCTCTCCCTGTCCCAGGAGTGACTGTTTCACCAGAGAAATCACCTCCCTCTTTCATATTGGCTGCATCACCCCAGCTTTACCTCTGCTGAAGCATCAGCAGTGTGTGTGGGCACAAGGTGTTCTGTGCCTGGCAGCACTCGCACTGCTGAGGTGCCAGTGGAGCAGGGCTGGCATGCCAGGAGTCAAGAACTCTGCTGGGCAGGGTTAGTGCCTGACTGGTGGAGGAACAGTCAGACTTTCATTATATAAGGCAGACCATCAACCACCAAAACACAAGCTGCACCCCCCTGCCCAGCTGCACCACCCCTGTCTCGGCACAGCCTGCTCAGCTGAGGTGAGCGCAAGCACGGGGCATTTAGCAAAACTCCCCCAAAAAAGCAGAGTCAGAAGCACATTTGTCAGTCTGCCTTCCTGGCTGCAAGGGGGAAAAGGTGAGGCAGCACTGCAGAGCTTGGTCACAGCCCCAGCTGTGGCCTTTACCTCTGTTCCTGCTCAGAGAAGGGACGGTCACACACAAGGGTTTAAACGCCTAAAGTGGCATCTCCAAAGTGTTCATCCTGTCCCTGAGGTCACACTCTCAGGGGTGTCTGATCCAACCCTTGCTCAAGCAGGGCTGTCTGGGTAGCAGATTATCCCTGGGCAACCTGTGCCACTGCCTGGACCCTCTCTCAGCTGCAAAGGGAGACAGAGGAAGGCAGAGATACCCTGCTGTCAGCTTTTACAGTCAAGTCTGAGTCTAAGTAACGCAGATAATGAACAGACTCCAGCAAAACCTGCACCTCACATTCCCCAACACAGTCACACTTTTGCAAAGCAGTGTGTACTTCCTGTAGCACCAGCAGAAAGGACAGACATGCCTTCAGCTGTAGTTCCTCCTTGCACACAAAGTACTTGGGTCTGTCTCCTGGGTGATATGGGGGAAGACCAAGGGGGATGCAGAGACAGGCAGCTGGAACCAATCCTTCTCCCCTAATAACACAAAGTTACACCAGCCTCATTTGTTTTGTTACTTTATTGAAAGTGGCAGATCCCTTTCAACGTTTTTAAAAACTAAACGCATTGTTGCTTTGAGTACTGGACAAAGGTTGTGGGGACTGTTTCCTTTAAAAAGTTTACTCATTACACTGCAGAGAGTGTGAGTAACGATACAGGTACCTTATCAACACGGTTTGCTACCGTCATGAACAGCAACTTTAAAAGCAGCAGGAGCCCTTCTGCTGGCCTGCAGCCTCTACCTTCCCCCTCTCCAAGTTTCCTGTCTGTACATTAACTTCTCCTAAGGGAAAAATGGGTTTGTTCTGCTCTTCCTAACTGCAGGCTCTGAGCTGGCTCACACCACAGCAGGACACTGCTCTGCAGCAGAGATCCAGCAAAACCCAACAGCAGCACCTCTGCTCTATGGGACAGGTTCATAGTGTTGCTGAGCCTGGATTTATCCATCAGGAAGAATAAAGGATAGTCATAAGCTAAAGTGAACACTGCACACCAGGATGAGGGAACATATGGTCCTCCTGAGCACTTAAAATCTGCAGGTCTGAATCCAAGTACCAAAAATCAAGCCTTGCTTCTAATAAAGTGGCTGAACAGCTCCAGCCTCTGTTCTCAGCAGCTCTGGGGTGAGCCACATCATCCACACACAAAGACCCAGACAGAAAGATCTGGATAACTGAGGTCTTGCTGACTTCATGGGAATCTTTACACAATTAGAGGGCAGGTCTCTAGGCAACCAGCTATCAGGGGTTATTTTCCTAAGTCTGTTTTTCTAGACCTTTAAAGTGTAGATTTAAGATCTGTGAGCTTACCTGAATTAAAGATTTGCTTTATAAACTAGTATGACACAGAAAGCAAAGCTCCTTGGGGATGGCTCTGCTGGAATACCTTAAGCAACACAGCAGATGCTTTAATTACTCTGCTAGCAAACACCACCCCATCTTGTCAACTGGAGCAGAGCCCTGGCTGCAGTGAGTTTAGATCCCAGGCTGAAGGAAGAGCCAGAAAGGAAAGGTTGAGAAGGGGATGCCTAGAGCAGCTTCTGGGAACCCCCAGCCCCGCCACACTGCTGCAAGCCATCCAGTTTATGCCTTCTTGTAGAGGACGGGTTGTTGCCTTGAGAACTGCTACGCAGTGTCCCTCTGCTTTGTGAACCAAAGCCCTGTCAGTGCCTTTGGCTGCTGTGTTCCACCCACTCCCCTTTCTTAACCCTTCTGCCCCATTTGGGCCTGCACAGTGCGTGTCTGCTCACCTCAGAGACCAGCACTGCCCAGCCTGCCTGTCTGGTTGCTTCTGCTGCTGAAAGTGCCAAGGACAGGAACCCCCCCCAGCTCCCACAGCAAAAGGACCCACTTTGCCTTCTGGTTCCCAGAGACTGACAGCAAGTTCTGCTGTTGCTTGAAGTAGATGAACCAAGGCCTAATACAAAATGATGTCCCAGAGCCAAAAAAACGTACAGTCAGCAAATCCATCCTCCTGTGAAACAACAGGCTGGGAAAGAGCGGCAGCGCATCGGCTCAGCTGCTGCTGCTCTGGAAAGCGTTTTGTTACTCGTGTGTGAAGGGGTTGAAGTGATCCTCCAGAACGACTGGAGAGCTGCTCTCGCTCTCCCAGAGGCTCTAGTGCCTGGAGAGCTTCCCAACATCCCTGCACTCACACATGACTGCTCACAAACACTTCTTTAGGAAGGCCAGGAGGCTAAAACCCATCAGACTCGCCTGTGAAACACATCTCAGTGGAAGAGAATCTCCCTCTTTTCCAGCAGCCAGGCATTTACCAGAAACAAGCTGTGAATCAAACCAAGCCAAAACGGACACATCCATAGGGAAACAATTAAAAACTGCATTGATTACATTGTAAAAACAATTAGACCACCCATCTCGGGTTCTGCAAAAGGTCTAAATTGTACTTGCATCGCAAACCCCACCCTGGGTTATCATGAAAACACGGCTAACATGAAGGCTCTGAAATGTCCTGGAGTCCGTCACACAATGTCACATCCAACGGCAGATGGTGGTCTGGATTAGAGATGTAGTTCTTATGAAGCTGGAAAAAATCCTTCCCCCCTCACGACAGCAGCAGGGAACGTGGGTGTCAGCGGGCAGAGGTCAGGTGGTTCCGACTGTGTGAAAACCTGCAAGGAAGAAGAACGGGGCGGGGGGAACTGGTCAGCTCTGGCTGTTTGAAGCTCTCACCCGGGAGAGAGTCAGTCTGTGTAGGTCTGTCCCCATTCCCATTGCCCCTGCAGTTTTTGCTAGATAAAAAAAAAGTTTTGAAAGCAAACAACAGCAATTTTAAAAAAAAGCCAAGGTGGCACTTTTTTCAGGCTTTCAAGATTGTTTTGACCTAGTAAGAAATTTTCAGCACTAGTGTTTTACAGTAAGAAAGCATGAGGGTCTCTGAGGTTTTGCAAGCCCCCCCAAAAATGTATCTTGAGCTTCTGCCCCATCCAGCAGTGTCATTCCTAGGCTGACAAAAGTGATTGATGCTGAAACATCTGCCCTGCAGTCACCTGTGTGCATTTGTGAGCACGTCTTGCTCAGCCAGACACTCAGGTTTTCCAGGTATCACCGGGACACCTTCTATGACCTCTGTGGGTCAGCCAGAATGATGAGAGTGTTCTCCTCACAGCATTAAAAGATTATTAGATGAGGGATCGACACAGAACCCATGGCATATTTGCTTGAAAGTCTGAATGACACAGAAACAGAAGCCCTCCAGTATGGCCAGTACATTTGGTCCTTAATATCTAGGACTCTGCTTGACAGCAGCATGTACAGGACAACCAGGAGGTCAGGTCAAGCCAGTGTGTGTTTAGGAAAGGTGGGTCCTGCCTGACCAACCTGATTTCCTATGACCAGGTGACCCACCTAGAAGATGAGAGAAAGGCTGTGGATGTAGTCCACTGTCTCCTACAGCATTCTCCTGGAAAAGCTGCAGCCCATGGCTTGGACAGGTGCATTCTTTGCTGGTTTAAAAACTGGCTGGATTGGCTGGGTCCAGAGAGTGATGGGGAATGGAGTTACATCCAGCTGGGGCCAGTCACTAGTGGAGGTCCCCAG